GAAAGTTTAGTCTAACAGTTGATTACAATAAATGAAATACCTTTAACAAGCGAAAAAGTTGTATATCTGGGATAAATTTGACCAGCACCTGTAAAGTCCCAATCTGTAATCAAGATTTTCATATACACATACAATATGTATATAAGCTAAACTTTACTTGGTTAAGTCATTAGAAAAAAAAAAACGCACAAATAAAACAAACGTATGTGTCATTTGTCCATCTACATCTATCTACATGTCTATCTACATCCCACAGGTACAAACAGTGGGGTTGATGTACTAAAGGCAAACAGACTGTTCACTTTGTATTGGAATTTTTTCTTAGCTTAGTGAATGGGGTAAAGTTCTGCTGACATCCATGATCCAAAAATATTTTTCTTTCCTTGCATGCTATTGGTCATTCTTTTCAAAGTAAAAATGTTAACACATTCTCTAAGCAAAGGGAACATGCCTTTGCAAAGTGAACACTAAATCAGCCACAAGGAGCCATTTCTGTGAGCTCAGCGAAATTATTCAATTTTTCTCATTTCTGGCTATGTTGACCATCATAGCACTGTAGCTGTTTATATTTATTGAGAAGCTACTGTACATATGAGTTTTTAGATCAAATCAGAAAGTGGGGTGGCATTCCCAAAAAACTGGTCAACTTGGTGGTAACTGAAACTCTTTATATTGTATTATAGTGTGAGCCTTTTTTCTGGAGTTAGAAGGTGGCATCTCTACCACTCTTCCTATAAAAACATAAATTAGTTCAAATATTGTACACTAAACTAGAGTGTTAAACATTCCTACTTTGGGTTAAATTGGGTTTCAGTTTTTGCTTATAACACATTTAGTTTATCACAATAACATGAAATGAGTATGTTGTTTTTCTGCTAGGAAAGGCAAGACCTACACATTAGAAACACTAAGTAGCAAATAATTCTAACCCTTGTTCTGACTGTCATATCATCTTGCTCAGCTTCCACTGCTGTATCATGTTAATTAGAACTGTACCAAATGACAAAATTTGCACATGACTTTAATAATGACTTTAATAAGTTCAATACTTCCTCTTAGTTCTTCCATAATTTTAAAATTCATAATCTTGTTAAATATTTTATATCATTATGAAGTGATTTAAATGCATTTATTCATTAATTTTTTATATACAATCATATTTAAAATTCATTAAATCAGAAAAATTATTACTTTTTGATAATAAAACCCTGCCAAATGTTGGAAAATGTAAAGATTTCTTTTTTTTTTGTAAAATGGTAAACTCCACTACTCAGAAAACATTTCAAAAAGAAAAAGAAATCTTTACATTTTCCAACATTTGGCAGGGTTTTATTATCAAAAAGTAATAAAAGTGTTGGGGACTTTCACAAGGAATGGACTGAGGCTGGAGTCAGTGCATCAAGAGCTACCACACACAGACAGATCCTAGACATGGGCTTCAAATGTCATATTCCTCTTGTCAAGCCACTCCTGAACAACAAACAACGTCAGAAGCGTCTTAACTGGCCTAAAGAAAAACAGACATGGTCTGTTGCTCAGTGGTCCAAAGTCCTCTTTTCTGATGAGAGCAACTTTTGCATCTCATTTGGAAACAGAGGACCCAGAGTATGGAGGAAGAATGGAGAGGCACACACTGCAAGATGCTTGAAGTCCAGTGTGAAGTTTCCACAGTCTGTGTTGATTTGGGAAGCCATGTCATCTACTGGTGTTGGTCCACTGTGCTTCATTAAATCCAGGGTCAATGCAGCCATCTACAGGAGTTTTTGGAGCACTTCATGCTTCCTTCTGCAGACAAGTTTTATGGGGATGCTGACTTCATTTTCCAGCAGGACTTGGCACATGCCCACACTGCCAAAAGCACCAAAACCTTGATCAATGACCGTGGGATTACTGTGCTTGATTGGCCAGCAAACTCGCCTGACCTGAACCCCATAGAGAATCTATGGGGCACTGCCAAGAGAAAGATGAGAGACATGAGACCGAACAATGCAGAAGAGCTGAAGGCCGCTATTGAAGCATCCTGGTCTTCCATAACACCTCAGCAGTGCCACAGGCTGATAGCTACCATGCCATGCCGCATTGAGGCAGTAATTGCAGCAAAAGGGGCCAAAACCAAGTACTGAGTACATATACATGCTTATACTTTTCAGAGGTCCGATATTGTTCTATGTACAATTCTTGTTTTATTGATTGCATATAATATTCTAAATTTCTGAGATTGTGGATTTGGGGTTTTCATGAGCTGTAAGCCATAATCATCACAATTATGACAAATCACGGCTTGAACTATCTTGCTTTGCATGTAATGAGTCTATCTCATATATTAGTTTCACCTTTTAAGTTGCATTACTGAAATAAATGAATTTTTGCACGATATTCAAATTTTTCGAGTTTAACCTGTATGTATTATAATGATTGACTTCAAACAAATGTAAAAGCTGCTCTGGTCAGAAACAGGGATGAATAAGGGATTTCTTATAAACTGATTTTTCAACAAAACTAGCAATTTTGGTATCAGTGAAATTTCACCAAAATAGAAACTCTAAATTTCAATACTGAGCTGCTTAGGTAAAATTTGCTGAAACAAATCCACTTAATTGTTCTCTCTGTTTGTACCTTTTTCCATTTTTATGACTATGATTTGTGTATTGTTACTATAAATGTATAAAATAATGAGCCTAATTATGGACTTGTTTTTGGCTTTTAGCTTTTGTAACCTCGTGGAGTCATTTAAAGCCCACTGCACTCTTTAATCCAAAATTACTTGAATTTTACCTTTCTCATTAAATACAATGCATTGTACCAAAATGGCAATATTTTGCCAAAATATCTTGGGAACATGAAAAGTCTTAATGTTACTCATCCCTGTGACAAACAGAATGAGAAACATAAAATTAGCAGTTTAGTTAATAATTTGGATTTAATCAAACTTCCCAGGCTGTAATAAGGTACAGTTACATTCAAACCACAGAAATGTTTTTGCTATTATGTAAAGTCAGACTATTGGAAGCTAACAATTAGTACATCTTTTTTTTTATGAATAAGCACAGCTTACATATCAATTTTTAATATACCTACTTGCTGCTTGCCCACAGTAGTTTTTACTGCAGATGGGCAGCACAGCCAGGCTGGGCGATGTACTGGTATGCCACCCAGCACATGAACACTAGTGCCTCCCTGGGGCGCACATCTGCATGATCCTGTGAGTTCTGTGTCTTATTGACACAGTGGATCACGCAGCTTGGTTCCCAGCCACTATAAGCGGCTGGAGTATTATGTGATCGCTATGACAATTTACATGATTACAATGTAAACAAAACAGTTATTAATGGTTTCTATTTATGACTGCTTACTTAGTGTTGTGAAGCTGTGATTGGCTCACAGCCATCAAATGATACTTGGCTACCCGTACCATGTGATGAGCTGTAGCCAATCAAAGCATCTCAACAGTAACTAAGCTGTCATTAATGGAAACCCTTTCTTGATGGCTAAAACTATTGCTTATAAAGGTGAATTTATAAGCAATACCCGTGTAAAAAAAATCTGTGATCACCCCCCCCCCCCCCGATTAGTACAGTCGGCTCCATTCACAAAGAGGTATTGTACCGCATCTGAGATTTCGGTAAGAGAGAGAGAGGTTCCCAGCTGACAGCTGTATGTAAACAAAACAGTTGCTGACAATTAAAATTATGGGAAAAGCAGCATGGGGGTCCATGATATCCATACTAGGCCCCTCTGGTCTGGTATGGATTTTAAGAGGAACCCCACACCAAAAATATTATTTTTTTTTTAGATGGTATGAGGGACCCCCAAAATCAATACCAGACCATTATCTGAGCATGCAGACCAGCAGGTCAGGAAAGGGGATGATCGAGCAAGCTTCTCCCCTGAATCATACCAGGCCACATGCCCTCAACATAGGATGTGCTTTGGGGTAGGGGGGCTTCCCCCAAAGCACATTGTCCCCATATTGATGAGGACAAAGGCCTCTTCCCCACAACCCTGACTGGTGATTGTGAAGGGCCTACGGGTGGGGGCTTATCATAATCCTGAAGGCCCTTTTAACAAGGTGACCCCCAGATCCCAGTCTCCCCATGTGAATGAAGATGGGGTGCATAGTACCCCTACTCATTCACCACAAAAAGAGTACAGATGCAACAATGATTTTTGACAAGTACCTTATTTATTTATTTTACATTTTCCCTAGGTGTAGATCCAATGTCAATCATAGTGAATGCTGGCTGCTGATCCAAAAAAGAGAAAAAAAAAGGTCTGGCATTTTTAAGTACCTTAAGAATGGAGACAGGCTCTCAGTACATCAGGACTTTCCATTTTCAAATATATATATATCACAGTTTGTAGACTATAATTCTCGCACAAACTAAATAATATACACCAGTTTGGGATATTTTTTATCAAAGAAATGAAAAACACATTTTTACCTAAATTTATGAGCAAACATTGTTAACCACTTGCCTACCGGGCACTTATACCCCCTTCTTTACCAGGCTAATTTTCAGCTTTCAGCGCTGTCGCACTTTGAATGACAGTTGCGCAGTCATGCAACATTTTACCCATATGAAATTTTTATCATTTTTTTCTCACAAATAGAACTTTCTTTTGGTGGTATTTAATCACCGCTGGGCATTTTACTTTTTGCGCTATAAAAACAAAAAATAATCAAAAAATAAAAACAAAAAGTTTCTTTGTTACTATTATAAAATGTTTCAAATGGCTAATTTTTCTCCTCCACTGATGTGCGTTGATGAGGCAGCACTGATGGACACTAATAGGTGGCACTGATGGGCACTGATAGGCAGCACTGATGGGAACTGATAGGCAGCACTACTGAGGAGGCACTGATAGGCAGCACTAATGAGGTGTCATGGATAGGCAGCACTGATAGGTGGCACCGATAGATAGCACTGATAGGTGGCACTGACTGGTATCACTGCTGGGCACTGACTGGCAGCACTGCTAGGCATTGACTGACACAACTTCTAGGCACTGACTGGCACAACCACTGGGCACTGACTGGTGGCACTGACTGGCAGCACTGCTGGGTGGCACAGGTGGGTGCACTGCTGGGCACAGGTGGGCGCACTGCTAGGCACAGGTGGGTGCACTGCTGGGCACAGGTGGGCGCACTGCTGGGCACAGGTGGGAGGAACTGGTGGGTGGCATTGCTGGACACCGATCATCAGGGCACTGATCATCAGTGCCCTGATGATCGGTGCCGATCCCTGCTCTGACAACTGCCGGTTCTCAGCAATATTTTCCTCACGCTCTTACAGCGTAAGTAAAGTGCAGACGAGAACCGGCAATTGCATTTCCCGGTGATCAGCGTGTCATTGGACACGGCTGATCACGTGGTAAAAGGCCGCTGTGATTGGCCTTTTACCACATCAAGTGATCAGCTGTAACCATAGGACACAGCGATCATGGAGATCACCGGGTGCGCGCCCCCGGGAGCGCGCAGAAGAGCGCGTTCTGGGAGGACGTCATATGATGTCATATGTGGGGGGCAATATATGGGACCCCCTTTTGTTTAAGGAGGCTTCTAGATTCAAATCATTTCACCCATTCACAGACCCCCACAATCAATGGGCCAGGGTTGTGAGGAAGAGGCTCTTGTTCTCATCGACATGGTAACAAGGGGCATTTCCAGGGGGTTCCCCCATGTTTAGCACATATTACCTGAAATGCTTTGGGTGTACATGCTCATTCCTCCACTATCCTGATCTGCCAGGCTGGGATAGTGGTCTTCTATGGATTTTTGGAGTACAAATGTGTTTTGTGGTGGGTTATCTCCTAAGCTTCATGCCAGACACAAATGGTTTTTACTTTGGTACATGTTACCCATGGCAGTGTCCAGTCCCTCATATTATTTTCCTAGTGCCTATTAGCCTAGAAAATCTTTAGAACTGTTTTTTAACATCCAACACTCATTAACTTGGCATTTGGAACCCATACTTTTGTCATGTTCACCAAACTCTGCTTGGGCACCCAGCTATGTTTGGCTCAACATTATTCTTGTACCTTGTCAGTCAGAAACCAACACATCCATCCTTGGAACTAAAAACACTGGGCAAAATTATTACAGGTTTGGGCAGCATTTGAGAGCTGTAAACTCAAGGAATACAGTTTCCCTATCCTGTGGTCCCAAATCCTTACACTCCACTCTCCAGAATTTCTGATGATAAAAAATTATTCTCTGTACTCAATATAGCAAACATTTCTCTCAGTCCCTTAGATCTGGACTGCTACTACCTTTTTGCCTTCACTTTTCAAAGTAAGTATCTGCACCCAATTACGGCAAGGACTTACAACTAGCCAAACAGAGTTTTCCCAAGAATTCCTAACAACCCTACAAGGGTTGCTGGACCCTGGGAGTTGTGTCCTATTATATTATTGATTATTGCTAGTTTGTGACTCAAAATGTGTCTGTGAAACAGCTATAAGGGAGCTCTTGAAGTTTCTCTAAGAAGCTGGATGCACAACCTCTTCTTCAAAGTTGCAGCATTGCCGAGCCACCTTCCATGGTCAATGTTTCTCTGAAAGATCAAAACACCTTATAACTGAAAGAGTATCTGCTGTTCTCAGTGCACCCCCATCTAAGAATCAGAAATGCTTGCAATGTTTCTTGGGACTAGTGGACAATTTCATGCAATGGATTCCAGGAAATTCTGAAAAAGTAACCCACCCCCTTTGTATGAGATAAAAAAATCTTCCAGGCCTAAGTTTGCAAGTGGACCAAGAAGGAGTGGGAGGAGGCAGTAAGGCTAAGAGAGGCTACCAGTTCCTCACCTGTCCTGGCAATCCCAAACTACATTATATATTTTTATCTATATTGCCTGATGTGGAGACAGAGGGCTCTTGGCTACTTCAATTCATAAATGGACACTGCTGCCCCATGGGTTGTCTCTATGCCCTCAAGCAGTGGATGTCACTGCAGCTGTGGTTGAAAAATTATCTGAGACTGTGCTTGGCAATCAACTGGTGGTCATGGCACCACATTCAATGCAATGATAAGTGAACATAACATGAATGAAAATAGTGACATAAATGCAACAATAAATGTGACTGACCAATAAGTAAAATTAATATTGATATTAATAATGAATTAAGTATAGCAACACAGTGGTTTAATCAAATTAACTGCAAAGTAACTAATAGTGACAAATAATCATATGTGAAATCATATAAAAAGTGTAAAGTCCAAATTAGTGCATAAATCTTAAGCTCCTCCACCAGCTAGCATGCACGCTCACGCTCCAACTATGACATGCTTCAAATGAATATGCTCAGCGATGATATCCTCAGATGTCCCCTCCATGATGTGTCAAAGAAATCCTCTTATATGGAACAAACACCAGATATGACTAGGATCCTACATGCTCCAAATAAACACACCCAGAAGTTATACCTTGGATGTCCCCTCCATATATTGGGAGAACAAAGAGACCCCTCCTTAATGCCCTTGTCTGTCTGTGTCCTCCGGACAATCTTCTCGCAAACTATTTGCACACAACTTGCAGCCCTCTGCGGCTCTGACTTCAACCTGTCTCTGCGAATTCCTGAGTGAGTAAAGTGGGGACATCCGAGGTATAACTGCTGGGTGCGTCTATTTGGAATGTATATGATCCTAGTCATAGCTGGTGGTTGATCCATATAAGAGGATTTCTTTGACACATCACAGAGGGGACCTCTGAGGATATAATCGCTAAGCATAATCATTTGAAGCATGTGTGACCCTTTAGGGGTCATAGTTGGAGATGAGCATGCATGCTAGCTGGTGGAGGTGCTTAAGCAGTGGTCACTGATGGATTTGTCACAATTAGTTACATTGTAGTTAGTTTGAATAAACCACTGTGTTGCTATAATTATTTCATTATTAATATCAATATTAATATTATTTATTGTTCAGTCACATTTATTGTTGTATTTATGTCACTATTTTCATTCATGTTATTTTCACTTATTGCATTGAGTTCTATGTGGGGTGATTATTTTTAGTCGTATTTTGTGAGAAGGTTATTTTGAGTAGCGCAGCATCATGTTTTAATTTCATGTACAGTATTTACACGGGTTGGATCATGGCTGGGTGCTTGCTGCAGCTCTTGCACTTTAGGGGGTACTGGCAGCGCAGGAGGATATATACATTCTATTCATGGCACCACATTCTATTTGTACTTTGTAATCAAGTGCAATACCAGACACTTGTCCTTTGCCAAACTGACCAAGTATAAACTCACTCACCTAAGCCCACCCAACTTGACTATTATGAAATGAAATGTTAATCCTTCCAATTTTTTGCCTGAAAAACACTCTGATTCAGAAGAAAAAATGAGGAGCATGTTTGTTGTCAGGTTATAGAAAATTTCATAAGTAACACACATCTCTCTCTTTTTTATGGATGGTTGAAGACTGGTACACCTCATTCTGCCTTTTTAATAGTTGGCTATCAAAAAGGTTGTCAAGACAGCCCGGATTTCCAGCAAATGATCTTTTAGATAGCTGAACTAACTGCTGTCAGTGAGGACTGTGAACTTGCAGAGGGGAAAACTGCTAACGTTTTCACATTATGTCTTTGGGGTAGCAAATAACTTTGGTCATGTTTGGAAGCTACAGTAGTTTCTTACTTTCCCATGTAAAGTAATTGTAAATGCCCAGGATATCAGTAACTTACTGGCAATAGTTTTGCTCCCCACAAGTTTGGTTATTGTCAAATGCACCAGTCACAACAAGAACACAGAACCTATAAGTGAGGGAAATACCTTTGCAGACCAGGTGGCAAAGCAAGTAGCCAGGCAGCCTGTTTTTAAGTATCACAGTGTTTCAATGTAATTGACCTACCTAAAAAAATTAGCATTTTCTGTTTCTATCATTTCAGATTTCCATCCAAGTGATGCAAATAACAGTGAAAGATTTAGGGATGCAGTAGCAGTTTCACACCATATATCATCCCGAAACTAGTGGGAAAGTTGGAAGCTATATTGCCACCCTAACAAAATTAACTGGCAAAACATGTTAGCTAATAGGGATAAAATGGACAGAAGCTTTGAGTATAACCCCTATGTCTATCAGACATACACCCAGAAAAGCAAGTAAACATATGACCTTTTGAAATACCTTATGGCAAAGCACTTAATACTGGACTGTACCTTACCAATGATTCTCAACTTTCTTTGGCTCATCCAAGTTTGAATATGTGATACAATTACATTGGGTACTAATTAATCTGCATTCCCAGGAGTTTTCTTTGATACCTAATCCTGATCTGGTATACCAACAACATTCGCTGAACGCTGGATACTGGGTGGTAGTGAAGTGCTACCTTGCCATACTCCTACAACCATGGTGGGAAGGTCCTTTCCAGATTCTACTGATGAACGCAACAGCTGTCAAACTCAAGGTGGGGGGGGGGATTCCTGGATACACACATTACATTGGAAAAAGGTTCCCCCACTCCATAAGGAATCTTCCATAGTTGTTCACACTTGGGGCACTGTCTAAAGAGGAAACCTCTCCTTCAGCACACCTGGCAACATTTCATGTTTTGTTTTTGATTGTGAGGGGCCAAAATAAAAGCCTTACTGATGCTCTACCTAAGGCCTGAGTTTCAACATCTGTGTTTCATCTGGTTCTGCCTAAGATTCAGAGGACAATTTCAGGTGAAATTATGGGATGGCCTGAGCCTTGTTGAAGTGCATAGACTGACAACAGGTCCGTCCATTTACACAAGGTTACAGATAAAGACCTAAAATGTTCAGATTGTTGGGTGTGTAGCCACATTTCTACCACAGCCTTAGGGGGATTCCCTCTGATTGGAGTTTTTTTCCATAACTCTGAATGGGTAGACTTTTTTCTCCATTGATGCTCTGTTAAGTAAAAACATCACCAACTCAGAGAAAACAGGATGCTAGTCTTAAACTGGCAGGTTTCTTACAGCCTGCTTATCTTGCTTTTGAGTTGTGCTCCGATATCTACTGTCCTAATACTTGTCGCTGAAACATCAATAAATGTCTGAAATTGTGCTGCAATGAAATGAGCTGTAATTATAGAGTAAGATAAGTGCCTATTAGAGGATTACATTTATTTGGGTTTCTGAGAAATACTTCAACTGTTGTGTTTGATTACCTCTGTGTTACACATCAGGAAACTGTCACATATTCTGCAAATGTAATTAACCTTTTTAAAACTAAGGCTAGAAAATATTCATGGTTTTCTAATATATTCTTCAGATTATTCAACTCACACCTGCAAAGCCAATCTTTAGTCTTACCTAATAATATATACCATATTTTTGGGAGAAAATTACGTTCCCT